AACGGATGAAGGGGGGATGGGACAGGAGGCGCGAAGAATGGCAGCAAGACAAAGGATTCTGATCAAGCTGCAAATTTTATTTCAAAATGGAGGGAGTTATATAGAGGAGGGTAGTAGGGGAAACGCAGTGGATAGGGGGGCTTCAAGGCGTGCTCTAGCCTACGATTGGGCGGGGGCGCACGGTGGGCGCATGACCAAGGCACTGATTGGTGTGCTACCTGCATGTCCAGGAGGGGGGTTTTTATGGCTCCTGACTGCAGCATCCTGCCATTCAAGGCGTATCTCTCAGGTCTGATTGTACCAGCCTGTGTCAGGCTTATCCCAGCCCCCAACATCTCCTCCCTTATTTTTATTTTTAAGGTGAGGAGTGGACATTAACCGGCTAGGGGAGGCAGAGGTCTGGCTCCTCCGGAGCTCGTCCTGAGCTCTGAAGCGCCCTTTTCGGAGGAGAGGGTTGGGGCGCTGACCTCTATGCAAGCCGACTTGCCTCTCAGGAGACATGGCAGGGCCACCTTCGGGGTAGCTTCTCCTTGCGATGCTTTGCTCTGCACCTAGCGGTATCCATTACAATTCATATGTAAAGTATAATGCCAAGAGTTATACTGTTCCCGTAGGAGGTGGGGGTGTAAAAGGGAGTTTATGCGCGGGGACATTCTCGGAGAAAACGCTGCGAGTCAGCGCCAGGTTCATTCATTTCTAGCTGGTGATAATGTATCTGGATAGGCTTGCCAAGAAGGGAGTTAAGTTGGTCTCGGATGAGGTTTGTGGTGCGCCTGAGAACCCAGGGAGCAAAGGTCAGGAAAAGAATGATAGCTATTAAAGGCCCGAGGAGAGGGAGAAGAAAGGGGAGCAGTCCGTTGAAGGCTGTAAGGAAAGGGCTCTCAGTCAGAGCTTTTCGCCGTTTTTCCAGGTCTTCTTGAAGGGTCTTGATCTTGTCCCGTACGATGCCTGACTTGTTGGCATAAAAGCAGCATCGTTCCTGTAAAGCTAAACAGATACCTCCCTGCTCTGCTGTGAGTAAGTCTAGACCTCGTCTATTCTGTAGGACTACTTCTGCTAGGGAATCTAATTGGTCTTGAATGTCAGTAATAGTATTTGATAAGGCTTGTACATCATCGACAAGTTGTTTGGAAAGTTTTGTATAGGAGTGAATTGCGACTCCTAATCCTGTAGTTCCGGTAGCTACTGCTCCAGAGACTCCTAGACCAACAAGCAGGGGAATAACAGCTAAGGCTCTTTTGTGTCGTCCTGCGAAGTGGTCAAAAGCAGGGACGGGGACAGGTTCATCTCCTGGGATGATGTCTATGTCAGGTAATAAGGCAGCTAAGGCACATAGCCCTGTCCAATTGGCGGGCAAGGCGGTGAAAGCTAGATTATTACCACACACGAATGCTCGCCCTGGGCCAGGACAGAGGGATGTACTGTAATTAAGCGTGTGGCTACAATTGGTAAAGCTGGCGAAACCAACAGAAATATCAAAAGAATTATTTTGTGAACTTTTATAGATACAAGGGGAGGAGTCAAAGAGCATAGGCTGAACTCTAAAGGGTATGCTGAGGGTGCAGTTTTGTTCGGTGATATTCAGGGCTGATATGTTGGTGGAGACAGCTAGAGGCATAGGGGTGCCTTGGCTTAAGCATAACCAGCAATCTTGGGCTAGCGTAGGGTTAGAAATATTTAGCGCCCGATGGGTGGCTGTCAAAATGTCTGTCGTTTGGGTATCTAGATCTACTCCTCGTGACTTGGGAAGAGCTAGAGGGTGATGGGTGAGTTTAGGGAATTGATTTTCAATGAGCTGCTCTATTTGGTTCTGGACGGTGAGTTCTCTTATAATATCTTGAGGCCCACCTCCATCAGAAGTGTGAATAGGGGGAATTTGTTCCCAGCACACTGACTGTCCTACAGTGCCTTGGCAGCCGGCTTGTAAGTATTTGGTAGAACTAAGGCCAACGGGTGATGAGTTATCTCCCCAGTCCCCTATGTTTGCAGCATTTTTCGTTTTTTGGAGTATGGCAGTAAAATATGCCTTATTGCCAAGGGTACACTCTTGAACCTTATTGTAGCAAGAAGAGTGCATTGTTGAATAAAAGGTGGTGCATGGGCATGGTCCTGGCTTTCCATTAATGGCAGGTATGATAGGGGGCTTAGGTACGCAGGTCCATGTGGGTTTGGACATCCCCCCTGTTACTGTGGGTGAATAAGCTAGGTAAGCTGTTTTCGTGTTGCAGTCTACTGCCCGAGTGTAAGACGAGGGGATGGCACGGTCGGTAGTAGTTCCTCCACGGCACTCACACGGTGGCCCAAAGAGGACGTGGTAAATATTGCCAGGCGGCGCTTGAAGCCCTCCATATGTCCTTGGGTGTAAGAGTGCTTGTAGTAGCAGGAAGAAGAGCCATTGGGAGAACATATTTTACCTGAAATAGAAAGAAGAGAAAATCTCCTCAGGGCATATTATTATTCCCTGGGATTTGATTAGGTTTAACTGGTGGGGTGGGGCGATGATTGACATGTTTTATTAGCCTTTCGGGGAGCCATCGTGGGCCACCTTCTTTTTGATCATAAATGCAGGCTGAGCCTCTCCCCCATATGAGAACGGGGTCTGGGCCTTTCCAGGCGTGAGTGAGGGGGTCGCGCCACATGACTGTGGCTTGTCGTGATGCGGTCTGTGGGTGCCAGTGGCGGTCGGCTGCCGAGCGGCCCTGTATGTCTAGTGTAAGGAAATTAAGTTGAAAGAGGGCATGATTTAGAAGATTCCGAGGTTGTTGTTTTGAAAATCCAAGAGGAGAGTGTGTTAGGCGATTAATGGCATTCTTTAAAGTTTGGTGGGCCCGCTCTACTATACCTTGTCCTTGAGGATTATAAGGGATTCCAGTAATATGCTTAATTTGGAGTTGTTGGCAAAAGGTTTGGAAGTTTTTTCCTGTATAGCCAGGGCCATTATCTGTTTTAATGGTGTGGGGCTTGCCCAAGGTGGAAAAGCAGTGAATCATATGAGAGATTACATTTTTTTGACGCTTCCCCTGTTTGGGGTGTGGCAGCTATAAATCCACTAAAAGTATCAACTGTAACATGAATAAATTTTTGCTTCCCAAAGGCGGCGAAGTGGGTAATATCCATTTGCCATATAGCATTGGGTATAAGGCCACGGGGATTAACGCCTAAATGAGGCACAGGTGCTGAGGTTATACAATGAGGACAAGCTTTAACGATGTCCCTAGCTTGGTCTCTAGTGATTTTATAAAGAAGGCGAAGGGTATGGGCACTTAAATGGTGCAAGGTATGGGCTTGCGTGGCCTCAGTAACTGGGTCTGTAAGAATAGGGCAGATGGCCTGTGTGGCAGCGTCAGCCAGGGCGTTGCCTTCTGTTAGGGGCCCAGGAAGGTCAAGGTGAGCACGAAGATGTCCAATATAGAAAGGGTGTTGTCTTTGTAAGATAAGGTTTTGTAGTTTGGTGAATAAAGGGGTGGCATTAGTGGAGGGTTTGATGAAGGGAACTGTTTCTAGTAGAGGGACTGACTGAGCTATATAGGCGCTGTCAGTATAGAGGTTGAACGGTTGGTTGGCAAGCGAGGTAAAAACTTCAAGTATGGCAAACAGTTCTACGAGCTGAGCAGAGGAGTAAGGAGATTTAACTGTAAAAGTCTGTTTGTTAATGATATAGGCAGCCGTGCCGTTTGAAGATCCGTCGGTAAAGACGAGGGTGGCTTTAGGAATTGGAGCTGCTTTGGTGAGTTTAGAAAAGATGAATTGATGAGTTTTGGCAAATTGAACGAGGGGATCACTGGGGTAGTGACTATCAAGATTCCCTGTAAAGGAGGATAATGCTATAGCCCATTCATCAGAGGTCTGTAAAAGCCAACTTGTTTGGTCCTGTGTATAAGGAGTGATTATTGAATCAGGGTCTTTACCAAATAGTTGGCGGCTAGTGGATCGCCCTTTAATAATTAGAGTGGCAAGAAGGGAGGGATAAGTGAATAATACTCGTGAGGGGGAAGCCGGTAGGTGGATCCAAAGAAGGGGGTGGCCATTTTTTGTGAGGTCTGTGGTTTTCGATTGCCAGAAAACTCCAGTGGGTGTATGGGCTGTAGGGAGTAATATGAATACTAGAGGTAGATTATAGGAAATTTGTTGAGTGCTTTGCCGCTGTATGGCTTCATTAATAATGGTTAAGGAATGTTCTGCTTCGGGGGTTAAGGCACGCGGAGATAGGGGATCTGAGTCTCCTTTCAGAATGTTATTGAGTGGGAGGAGCGCTTCTGTGGGCAGTTTTAAGTATGGCCGGAGCCACTGAATGTCTCCAAGAAGCTTTTGAAAGTCGTTGAGTGTTTTTAAATGATCAGTTCTGAGGGATATTCGGGGGGTAAATACTTGTTGGTGACATAGTTCAAATCCTAGATAGGAATATGGATCAGATGTTTGCACTTTATCAGGGGCTATCTGTAGTCCCCGGTTGGCAAGGCATGCGATCATATGGGCGTGACAGGCTCTAGCGATGTCCCTGTCGGGGCAGGCTAAAAGGATATCGTCCATATAATGGAGGATATAGGCCTGGGGCCATTGCTTTCTGACTGGGGCGATGGCAGCAGCAACAAACTTTTGACACAAGGTGGGGCTGTTGGCCATGCCCTGAGGTAGTACTTTCCAATGGTAACGAGGCATAGGGCTTTGGAAATTGATTTGAGGAACGCTGAAGGCGAAGTAGGGTCTGTCTTCAGGGTGAAGAGGAATGGTAAAAAAGCAGTCTTTTAAATCTATGACAATTTTGTAATAATTGGCAGGAATGGCAACAGGTGACGGGAGACCAGGCTGTAGGGCTCCCACGGGGACCATAACTTTATTGACGGCTCTAAGATCTTGTAAAAGACGCCATTTTCCAGATTTCTTTTCGATGATGAAAATAGGGGTATTCCAAGGGGAGTTGGAAGGCTCAATGTGCCCTGCCGCAAGCTGTTCCTGCACTAACGTAATAGCAGCAAGGGTTTTTTCCTGAGTAAGGGGCCATTGATCAACCCATAGAGGTTCAGCGGATTTCCATAATATTTTATCTGCATGGGGTGCAGGACTGTCAATGGCCGCTAGGGTAAATTTTGGGTATATCCTAGACCTGTCTTATTAAGCTTTGGATTAATAGAAATGGGTCGAGTGATGCCTTGATGGTTTTTTCCTAGCCCCTGGCCGGGTATGAATCCCTGGTTTAGCATTTGAGCCATGGCAATATCACTGGGGCTACATAAGACTACTCTCATTTGGGCGAGAATATCTCTCCCCCATAGGTTAACAGGCAAGTGAGGTAGTATATACGGGGTCACGAGGCCCTGGTTTCCTTCATTATCTTCCCATTTAAGGGTTTTAGAGCTCTGTTGTGGATTGGTAGACTGTCCTATGCCACGCAAATGTGTGGCAGCTATGGTTAAGGGCCAGTTTCGAGGCCATTGAGACTCGGAAATAACAGTGGCATCAGCTCCTGTGTCAATAACACCTGAAAAAGTTTTACCATTAATTTTGAGTTCGAGTAAGGGACGGCCCTCAGTGACCTGTTGTACCCAATACGTATCTGAAGAGCCGGGGGGGCTTGACCCTCGAAAGGGTTTTTGAAAATTAGAATTAAGATGTTGAAGGGGGGAGGATGATTATTTGGGCTAATCTAGTTTCTTTGGGGATGGTAATTAAATCTGAAGTGGTGGAGAGGATAATTTGGATTTGTCCTTCGAAATCATTATCTAGAATGCCAGGGAGGACTTGTATCCCTCGAAGGGTGGAACTAACTCGGCCGAAAATAAGCCCGAAAGTGTTAGGCGGTAGGGGCCCGAAAACGCCGGTAGGGACTATTAGGGGGCTATTATCTGAGGTTAGTACTGTGTCGGTGGCGGCACAGAGGTCCAGTCCTGCGCCGCCTGCTGTGGCTCTCCACAGGTCTGTGACGTGGCGGCGTGATCGATTACCGGGAGCGCAGGGATCTGTGGGTGGAGCGATTGGGGGGTGAGCTGCGTAGCCCCGGAGCTCACACCCGGAATGGGGCCCTGGGGCTGGGCCCTGTTGGAGTTTCCCTGCCTTGGGGGGATGGGCTGTCCATAGATGTCTGTCTTAGATCTGCACTCTGAGGACCAGTGAAAACCTCTCCTACAGCGAGGGCATCTTGTGGCAGGGGCTCCTGGACTATTAGTATTAGGTCCTGTTGGGTTTTGGATCTGAATTTGAGTCTGATTCTGGCTCCTCTGGGGGCAGGCTCGGGAAAAATGTCCAGGTTGGTTACAGTTGTAACAAAGGCGATTAGGGGGGCGTGCCGGCTGTGGGGGGCATAAAATTTTGTAAGGCGGCGCCGATGGCAAGTCCGAAAGCATGGGCAGAGCCAATGCCGGAGCAGAGGCGAACATAGTCACAGAGCTCTCCTTGGCGATAGGGGCGGATGGCATTTTGGCAAGCGGGGTTGGCATTTTCATAAGCTAAGTGTTTAACGAAAGCGTTTTCACTTTCGCCCGCGCCAAAGAGCCTCTCAGCTAATTCCTGTAAACGGCTTATAAAATCACTGTATGGCTCATCTGGGCCTTGTCTTATTTTTGCAAGAGAAGTGGTTGCGGTGCCTTTTTGTGGAAGGCGCCTCCATGCTTTAAGACCCGCGGACTGGATTTGGGTTAAAAGTCCGGGGGGAAATTGAGCTTGTCTCTCATTGCTTTGATAGGGGGCGGAGCCAAGAAACTTAAGGACGGTCCAATTTTTAGAGGAGGATTTTCGCATATTGCGCCGGACAAACTGTTTAGCGGTGTCTTCATATTCGCTTTTCCAAAGAATAAAGTCACCTCCGCTCAGCGCCGCCTTTGCTAGAAAGAACCAATCATTGGGCGTGAGCCAGCGCTCACTAAGATTTTCAATTAGGGCAAGGGAAAAGGGAGCTGTGGGCCCGTAGTGTGTTACAGCAGCTTTGACTTTTTCTAGTGTTTTAAGACTAAGTTTTTTATACGTGTGAAAATAAGCTTGGGGGGTCGTAGTGTCTCTTGTACTGGGCTGTGCTTCGTCTATATCAGAAGGGGAGCTGTCAGAGTCTTCGGGGTCATCACTGTCAGGAGGGGGGTAGCTGCAGCCGCAGCTGAACTATCTACGTTCTCGGTCTTATCTGGGCGAGTCTGGGATCTAGTAACAGGGAATGCTAAAGTTTCGTGGGGAGGGGGGACCGATCGTAAGAGCGGAGAGTTCATTGGCAATGGTTTTAATATCTCGGATGAAAGAGAGGGTTTCCTGAAGGAAAGGCTTTGGAAACGGAGTGAGTGCGGCGGTGGCCGCCAGCGGCAAAGCAGTGGGTGCCTTGCACGCCGCGGGCGGAATGGGCGAAATGGCGGCGGCGGGTGCGCGAGGGGGACTGTAAGGAAGCGGTTTAAATGGCGGAAGGACTGCCGCTACGAGCGGCGGCCAGTCAGGATTATTGTAGCGAGCGGCCTCG